AGACAACTTTAAGGTGGTGTCAAAAGTGGTCATAATATTTCAGATACCAGACTAATACACAAAAAGTTATAAAACTACTGGTGCAAATCACATGATTACAACTATGCTAATACAACATGGAGATATTTTAACTGTATCGTGGTAGATTTAGTTATTTAAACGTTATTGCCACTCATTTAAAGTGGTGATATCAGTTTTCGTCACTATAATGCTACTTATTAAGTACTTATCGGCCTTGGTGCGCGTAACGGAAAATTACCGAGGGGGAGGCTCGGTAATGTTCCCCTATTTGGTCAAAAATTTCCGAATTGAAAAAGTAAACCTGCCTTATCAGTGATACTGATTGAGTGCACTGGACTGGGCTGCTTTAATTTTTACAACACGTTGCAAAATGTCAAACATTCAAATTTCCCCCCCTTTATCCTAAATTGTTCACAAAGATCCGCTTTTATTTTTTGTGAAAGGCGCATAGCTATAAGAAAATAAATAGGTACCAAGAAAATAATCCCTGTCAATTTTCACACCTCTTTTGTCAAAGATAGATAATCAATTTAGGTATTTAGTTTTCGACAATTTGGAATATTATTTTAGAAAAAGTCAATACTGCCTTACAGATAACATGGCTATTTTCCGTGGACGCTAACTGCTGCGAGGACTGCGGGACCAGAAAAACTGTAGTTTGCGAAAAAAAGTTAGTTTTTAAGTGTGCCCCCCCCCAGTCTCCTGCCCCCCCGGACTAACGTGCCCTTAACATGTATACAGGTACAATTTATTATTATTATTATTTTATTATAACATAACAAATCTTAAAATTATGACGTCAATCGGGACGGGAGCCACAGCGTTATTATAATCCTTTATCCCGCTGCCAAGCGACGCGTTTTTTATTTCTATTCACATATGCGAAGTTGAATCTTCCGAATATAATCTTCTTAGTTGTCATGATAATTAAAAATTAAACTACCACTAAGTGAGTACAAATAGTAGGCAGTTCCTTAGGTCAGTCTGACCCCGTCGATAGCAGTTACGGTTTAATTAATTTCAAACACAATAAATTGATAGCAAAAAATATGTAAAAACCTTCCTTCTGACAACTTAAATCAATATAAGAATTAAGTCACTGAAAGACATTTCACATGACGCTTAAAATTATAAAAACAAACGTTATTATTTGAGGAAACAAATATTCATTAACAAAAAAAATTAAAAATTAAAAAAATTGACCGTTTAATAAATAATAATCGGGGTCTAACTCTCATCTTAACTGGTTACGTTAAAAATATCACCAGAAAAGAAATAAGTTTTAGTTTGCGTTTTATTAGCTTCCCCCACTACGTGTTTTCGGCTGTTCATCTTTACGATATCAAAGTAAGCCAATTTTAACAGATTCTAACCTCGAAATTTTAACAGCAGCTGTTAAAATTTCGAGGTTAGAATCAGCTGCTGCTTCAGAGGTGCCGCTAACTTACCCATTAAAATTTGAATTTAAGGCCAGGAAGAATTACCAACTTGATAACATATGTAGGTATTCTTGACAGTTATAAGTTAGGTTATAATAATTAATTCCATACACATTAATTCTCTAATTATGTGTTGCTATAGTGCAACAATAAACGATATAGGAAATAAAATCGAGCCGGCGAAAATCAAAAGTTTAGTATTAATGAATTAATTAATTCCTTGGTTGCTGCTGCAATAGTTCAGGTACCTACCTTTGTACCATGTTACCTACCTACCAAACTATCCAGTTTGATCTTTAAAAATTTGTCAAATGCTTGCTCACTTTTATTATTAATAAATTAAAATTCATGTCAACTACCTAAACCAAACATTTCACAGTATTTTAATAAAACGTTTTCCTTGCGTATAGGTAACGTTTTGATATTTTTTATAGGTTCCATAGTATAAATTTTGCACTACCAGTAAAATACTGGCGTAATATGATATACCCATTACGTATAATATTATACCCATATTATGGGTAACTCATAAATATTCAAATAAACCAGTTCCAATTTTTACAATTTCGGTAATTACTCCAAACTACTAATTTTTAGTTTTAGCCAATATTTTACTAGGGTCATTATATAAATGATACATTTTTACAGTTTTAGACATGAACAAAATTTGGAATGGCAAAGGCTGGGAAAGATAATATCGCACATGGGCGACAACAGTGTCATAAGTAGTAAAACGATAATTCCGATATAAGTTAACGTAAAAGATTTTTGAATAATAAAAATGTGACATTTTTGTAAAATTATATTAACTTACAGTGTAAGTTAATATAATTTTACAAAAATGTCAGAATTTTATTATTCAAAAATCTTTTACGTAAACTTATATCGGAATTTTCGTTTTACTACTTATGACACTGTTGTCGCCCATGTGCGATATGTTGCACGAGCAATATGATTCACGGTAGTGGAACTATGAGTGGCTTAAGCCACTTTTAATTATGCAACTTTTCTCCACAAATTATTCTGTATGTATGGGTATCTTTTTTATTTGAAAAGCCACAGCCAAGCTTAAGGTCGGTTAAAGTGGAGAAAAGTTGCATCAAAATCAAAAATCATTAACTTTTCAGGACAAAACTGTGTACATTTTTAAAAACCTAAAAGCATAAAGAAATGTAATAAAATAAAGCATAAACCATTTTTTTAACCTTCTAGGTTTTTAGAAAAATACATGATTTTTTAAAATACGACTTTTTGCAGTATCAACTATGATATTTAAAATATTGTTTCTTTTAGGTGACTCAGGGTACCCCATGGCAGCCAAACAGAATATTACTTTCATAATCCTAAATTAAATTTTTTAATATACATACTACATACATAATATTATGTACATATGTGTAGAAAATTTAACAGTGGATTCCTTTTAACGAATCCTGGAGCCTTACAAAGCATAACTTCATATGAAAAAAAACTAATTTTTTACTAAGGACTCCACTGTAAATTTCCTTCTAACCTTGCTGGTACCTATATACACACATAAAATACCTATGTATATTAATAATATTATGATGTACTTATGTATATTATTATTATTATTATTTAGTAAAGAAGTTCTGAAATGAAAAAATAATTAATTAATCCTGTTAGTGCCCTTGGCTTGTTGTATACAAATATATAAATAAATAACATTAAATAAAAAGCGTGTATTTTTATTGTTTACTTACATTTAAATCAATTTAATATTTAGTTTGCATTAATTTATTAACAAAATTAAACTAATAACATGTTTTAACTTACCCTATACAGGGTGTTCCTAAAAGCAATTTTGTATTTAACTCTTTTTATAAACTTCTCTAGACACTCGTTTTTATTAAACACTCGCTCGCAAGCTTCGCTCATGCATAATAAAACTAAATAAAATGGCGTTTATAAAATTTGATACATAATATACTATTTGAATAAAGCAAATTGTTTTCTTAGTAACTACACTGAGAAAAAAATGGGACAAATAAACTGTGTAGCTATTCCTTTTATTAATAGTGAATATATTGTTTATTACCTCTAAATAGTCGAAATAATAACGATAAATATACTTTAGTAAAACTTTATGTGTCGGGAATAAAAATATATTTAGGATAAATATACTATACCCTTGTCCCATATTTAAATATTTTTTTTTATTTGGGAGCAATAAACTTTTTTCTCAGTGTATAGTCCCAAAAAATCAAAAACAGTTTCGCCTGTACCTATATACGAAGGATATACTCAACTGTTACTCGTCCTTGGTCAGTGTATTTTTGAATAAGAATGATTCTACGTTCGCCAGTATCATTAACAATAAAGAAGAAACTGGTGAGACGATTTTGGACACTATGTTTTTAACTATTATTTCTTTAGTTTTTTTAGACATTTCTAAAATAATGACTAAAAGTTCACTCTTTCATCAAAAAAATGCAAAGAAACCATGGTAACTGTTTAGGATACCTTAGAGCTGAATATAATTATAGGAAGCTCTAATTGCAAGTGGAGCTTCATTCCAATATTTTATATAAACCAAGCTTACAAATGGGGCTAAACATTTGAAATTCATTGTCTCTCCAGTTGTTGAAGGAAAGTGATTTCGGAAACAGTATATATTTAGGACATAAACGTAAACTTTAAACTTTAAACCTATAAGAGTTTGAGAATAATTACAAAACAGAAAAGTGCCGACTCCTAAAATAGACAAGCTTTCTCAAATTTAGTAATTATTCCTAAAGAGTATATCATTAGCTAGAACCATATATATATACCTAAATCAAAAATCGGAGTACAGGGAGGATATGAAAGGCCTCTGTTATGTTCAGTTTATGTTCATATTACATGTTTTTTTTCTCAAGATTCTTTTTTTTCAAAGTGGTTCACCTAAGAACTTCGGGCCCAGGGGAATGGTCCTCAATACCCCCATATAATTCTCTAAAACAATTTTCTCAGTGTATTTAGAAAGTACACATGTTATTGCAATTAAAAAAAAATCTAAATTGAGGTTCTTATTGAAAAAGCATTGAATTTTTGTGTGGTATTTGCAAAATATTTAATGATAAAAAGTTATTTATCAAGTTTTGAATAAAAAAAATGCACTCTGTCATAATTTTTTAAGGGCTAAAAATACCCTAGGCTTTAATAAACTTGTAAATCATTTTTTTTTATTTTGTTATTTTTAAATTCAGCATAAAAAGTTAAGTAAGCATACAAAATTTCATTATTTTATATAAAACTGTTTAGGAAATAATAATAAAAAACCATATTCAGGGGCGTCCCTTTAAGAGGCTGTAGCTCCCTTAGGGGCCATTTACAAAGCACGTGTAGATTATTGCACCCTGTAATTTTTAATTAAACCCCAATAAAAAAATATCAAGCCGTTTAAATCTTCCACACTATTGTTGAATGATGCTTGATATTTTTTACGAAGATTTGTATATTAATATAAGATATATGTATATTAAGTTAATATTATTAACCCTTCCAAAATTATTTGTGTTTAAGTTTTAAAAAATTAATGCAAAAAACTTTTTAAATCAATTTATTGTTTCCAGAAAAAAATTCCATTTTTCACATTGTAATGAAATTTCTGATATAAATTCCAACATATACCGTTACGACAAACATGATATTTTTGACAAACAGTTTCCGAATCACACAGTTGAGTGCTTTCTGAAAGAACTTCTTGATAAATATTCTTTATTTTATCCATAAAATGGTTAAAATATTTTTCACTAAAAAAATCGGTTTCTTTTTGCTTAAATTCGTTACATTTTAGTTCATAATAACACATCGTGATGTCTTTACCTTCGTGGTAATTGGTTTTCAAGTAAGGATATTTATAGTGATGATAATAGGTTGTGTTTACTTGGGCTTTTATAAAATCGTGGTAGCAAGAGCATATCCACAGGTTAGGGTGGAGACTAACACTTTTAATGTGGGTGGTTCTAAAGAGGTCTCTGTTGATGTAGCTTATACTGTTGAACGCTATCAGAAATTTTCCAACAGCAGGCGTGTTTTGAAATATAAAAGGGCTAATGTTCGATAGGTGATTAAACGATAAATCAATTACTTCCAGTTTATCGTTGCTGTTAAACGTGTTATCTCCTATGTAACCTATTTGATTAAACTGCAAATAAATATGAGTTATGTTAGGAAATATGTAAAAGGTATTTCTCTGAAGTGTCTGAATGTTGTTGTTGTTCAGATATATAACTTTTAGTGGACTCTTGACATTGTTCGCAGTAAACCATGAAAATTCAAACGTGGTCAACTTGTTTCCATGTAAATACAAGCTTTGTAAATTAATTAGCTTTGATAAGGCTTCGGTTTCGACGTCAACAATTTGATTTAGTCCCAAATCTAAATGCTGCATAAATAAATTGTTTAATGACCCATAGTTTATATATTTAATTTCGTTACCGTCCAAATACAATCTTCGTAGGCCATTTAATTTGCTAAACGTCCCTGTGTTTAAATTCGAGAGTTTGCCACCTCTTGCAATTACCACCAAAATATTACCGCTATTGAAAAACGACGAATTTAAATGACGGACTTTTGGATCCACAACGTAGTATTCTGGATGTGTATCGGTTTTTATACATGTATTGTTGCACTTAAATATTTCCAACGATTTATTATTTTTTACTAATAATACTAATAAAATTGACACGAATATGCTTATTGTCGTCTTCATGTTTTATTTTATACTAAATATTTATAATATTTATTTATATTTAGTTTGTATCTATGTGATAACATTTGACATTAAAACGACGCGTAAATTTCACAAGGTTTGTAAAACATTTATAGCCAAATATGTATCGAGCATTTGCAATGTTATTAAATTTATGGCCATATACCTATATCATGCAGCTAATTTAAAAAGTTTTTGTCCTGAAGCATAGATACCGTTTGTGTGACCTAATGCTAAATAAGAGTCCCTATAAGAATATATATAGAAAACAAATGGAGGTCATGTTTCTTGTAATAAATTGTTAAGAATTATTTAACTAAATAATCGTAAAAACACCTTAAAATATTAATTTTTATTATTTTTTAGGTGTTTGTGTTTAAAAACTTTGATTTTTATTTAAATGATGCACCAATAGGATTTGTGCTATTGTTGGCCAGACTTTATAGCGACTCTTATTCCAAATAGGAACAAAATATGGTATTTTTTTTAAACCCGCAATGTCGCCTTTCATGCGCCTCATATTCGATTGAACTGTATGATTATACAGTTAATTTCACTTTAATTACTTTAACCCCACTAAAAGGAAACAGTCTCAGTAATAAATAATTTGTATATGTGTAACCCCAAATGAAAAAAACGGCTCATGATCCCAAGATTCATTCATAACCAAAATTATGTCAATGAGCGATAGTATATAGTTACGGGATAAGCTTTTTCCAGTTTTAGCATGTCTCGGAATTACCAAAATGTGGAAACCCCATTGGTAAGGCGAAATCATTTTATGCGACTTGCTATGAAAAGCTCTGTATGTGAGGAAAAGCGGTTTTTGCCTAAAACGCGTTGCAACGCTCGCCGAACTGTAATATTTATTATGGCCGAAACGGTCCGTGAGCCACTGCTTACTATTCCGGATTGAGCGCTATCTATTTTTAATTAAAACATTACTTAAAATCTACCTTCAGATTACAGCTACCTATAAGTATTTAACAAAAATACCATTAGCAAACATTGATCTTTAAAGTAATGTAATAAATATTTATTTTTGTACATCTAATTTATTCAATAAAATTGTTTACCATACAAAAATGTCTTTTTCATTAAAAATATTAATGCAGTTGCGTGTTTTAATGCATTTGGCGTATTAACCGACATGTCGCGACACAAGAAATTAATTTATTATGATATGATTTATTAACTGCCTATCTTAAATGGAGATTTCAATGTTTATTTATCTCTAGAGAAAGAACAACCGTTGACAGATTTTTTAGGTAGTGAATTGAACTTAAATATTAATAAGGATCGTAATGGATACACCAGGGGAGTACAATAGAGTTTCCCGGTGGGCCCCCATAAATTGTCCATACACTGTTTAAAATATGTGTGCACACATGGTGTAAAGGGTAATCTTAAAATGGTGTCTAAATCCAACACCAAGTGGTGTTAATACCATGCATTATTTAGTTGACCCATAAGTATTTATTTAAATCAACTATGGGAAGGTTAATATAAACAAAGATTAGTTTGACGGTACTAAACCAGATAATTATTATTATTTTTTTAATTGGTTAAATTAACCCAGAAAACTTTAGTGAAACCAACCCGCTGTATGGTTCAGTTTACTAAATATGTTGTTTGTAAAATAAGAGTTACTCTGTTAAATATGGTTCGTTGGGGACCATGTATGGTGTTAATTTGGTGTTAAAATGGTCATGAAATTTTGAACAGTGTAAGGGGCCCCACGACCCCGACGCGTCGCGACGTGTGATAAATTTAAGTTAGCTGTTACTAGCAGGACCGCGTAGATAAATGAAACTCCGTTTCTGGCGTTATTCTTTCGAGTAACATAAAAAGATTAAAACATAATCAGAAACGGAACGTTGGAAATCGTTCCCAACAAGTACCATTAAGGACACTTAAGGTAACAAAACTAGCAAAACTCTAAGCAGAACCGAAACACAGGGTATGGAAACTAAACCAGCAACGCAACCTGAGTAACAAAGCCTCTTGGTACAGAAACCAAACTATAGTTACTATAACGTTACTATAGTAACGTTTCTCGTGTACCGAAGAAAACTATTAAGTACCTAGTAACGTTTTCTGTTGATGAATAAATGAAGCAGCGTACTTATAAAATTCCTAATTGCGTAAGTTACCCGCACCATTTTCCCACGCGTCCTAACTGCGCGACTTACTCGAGCGACTTACCCGCGTAACCTACCTGCGCGTTTTACTCGAGAGTTTTACCCGCGTGACTCACTCGCGCCACTAGTGGGCGGAATTGCATGAAGTTAGCTATAGGTTAAAATTGGAAAATATTGAATTAAAAATGAGTTTAATATGTCAGGAGGAATCTCCTTTTTTTCCCAGAACTCGCACAATATACTATTAATATAATACATATTGTTAGGGTGACCAGCCGTTCCGATTTTATCGAAACTGTTCCTTTTTCGGCAGACACTTCCCGATTCTACATTCTGTTCCGTAAATGTTCCGGTTTATTAATCTGTTCCAAAGATGTACCGATATAAGATAAAGCACTGATCCACATGGCAAAGCACAAATTTTCGCGAGAATTATCACATATAAATATTGGCGTTTAAAATGTGCATGTCAATAGACCTATTCCATAAAACGGACTTTTGGATAGGGCGTGCGTGAAAAGGCACCTCGTCCTTTTTTTAATTATAAAAGAGAAAGAGATACCACTCTTCTTCAGGCACGCGCTGTCCAAAAGTGTGTTTTATGGGATAGGTCTATCGAAAACGCCGCATTTTCGATGGACATGCATATTTCGTTGATATATCTAGGGATATATCCCTAGATATATCAACTTATGTACTATCCGAGAATATATATATTTCGAGATACCTAACAATAAAAAGTAAGTACTGTTTTATTCAAAGTACCTAAAAATAGCTGAGTATGCAAAACAAAAAACAATTATCAACAAGTAATGAATGATAACACAAATGTAAATTTTTAATAAATGTAGAGTAATGCCCACTGTGCGAGCATGTTTTCAGGAACAACCAGTGGCGGCTCAAAATTTCTACTTTACTTATAACAATTTTAATGCAAAAATGATAAAGAATAAACTTTCTTATTTTGCCGTGTAATATCATCCCCTTAAAGGTTGACAACTTATTTGGTGACACCCTGCATATACCTATTTATAAATGTCAACGCAAAGTAGTTTTTTAGTATGCATGCATACAGTTGAGTTTTCGGTTGTAAACACAAAACTAGCGTTGATTGTGAAGCATGTTTTGGTTCAAAATTTATTATTAAGTTAAACACTAGGTATATCAACGCACTGTAAAATAAAATAATAAAATAAAATAAAATAAAATAAAATAAAATAAAATAAAATAAAATAAAATAAAATAAAATAAAATAAAATAAAATAAAATAAAATAATGAAATGAAATGAAATGAAATGAAATGAAATGAAATGAAATGAAATGAAATGAAATGAAATGAAATGAAATGAAATGAAATGAAATGAAATGAAATGAAATGAAATGAAATGAAATGAAATGAAATGAAATGAAATGAAATGAAATGAAATGAAATGAAATGAAATGAAATGAAATGAAATGAAATGAAATGAAATGAAATGAAATGAAATGAAATGAAATGAAATGAAATGAAATGAAATGAAATGAAATGAAATGAAATGAAATGAAATGAAATGAAATGAAATGAAATGAAATGAAATGAAATGAAATGAAATGAAATGAAATGAAATGAAATGAAATGAAATGAAATGAAATGAAATGAAATGAAATGAAATGAAATGAAATGAAATGAAATGAAATGAAATGAAATGAAATGAAATGAAATGAAATGAAATGAAATGAAATGAAATGAAATGAAATGAAATGAAATGAAATGAAATGAAATGAAATGAAATGAAATGAAATGAAATGAAATGAAATGAAATGAAATGAAATGAAATGAAATGAAATGAAATGAAATGAAATGAAATGAAATGAAATGAAATGAAATGAAATGAAATGAAATGAAATGAAATGAAATGAAATGAAATGAAATGAAATGAAATGAAATGAAATGAAATGAAATGAAATGAAATGAAATGAAATGAAATGAAATGAAATGAAATGAAATGAAATGAAATGAAATGAAATGAAATGAAATGAAATGAAATGAAATGAAATGAAATGAAATGAAATGAAATGAAATGAAATGAAATGAAATGAAATGAAATGAAATGAAATGAAATGAAATGAAATGAAATGAAATGAAATGAAATGAAATGAAATGAAATGAAATGAAATGAAATGAAATGAAATGAAATGAAATGAAATGAAATGAAATGAAATGAAATGAAATGAAATGAAATGAAATGAAATGAAATGAAATGAAATGAAATGAAATGAAATGAAATGAAATGAAATGAAATGAAATGAAATGAAATGAAATGAAATGAAATGAAATGAAATGAAATGAAATGAAATGAAATGAAATGAAATGAAATGAAATGAAATAAAATAAAATAAACTTTATAAAATTATAAAAATCATGCTTGAGACTTTTGTTTTACTTCTTTTATACTAAAACGTATTCAATCATATAGTTAGGTAAACATCTTCTACCTCTTGAATTTTTAAGTTAAAGTAGGTATAAAAGTCTAACATCGAATAGATTTAATAAAATTCGTGAATTTGGAGTAAATTGATTTAAAATTAGTTTAACTTTTATATCTTCGGGTTTAAAAATTATATAACTTAAAGTGAACAAAGGAAAATATTTACAAAAGGCTTAAAGTATTCATAATGAAATTAATTTTATTTGCTCCCACTATGGTAACTAGGCTGTTGTAAGGCTGGTTGCTATTGACGACGGGAGGTAAGTGACCTACTTACCTCCCATGGGTTAAAAACGTCTTCATTACGACAAAATCAGAGCAGACTACGTGACATTCTTTAATGTGAAAAAAATAGTGGCTGGCAATAGAGAGCGCAAACTCGTCCTGGACTAGTAATATTTACTTA